CTAACACAGAATTAAGCACTACAAATTAGATTGCTGTTAAATATCTGGATTGCCGTTAAATATCTGGATTGTCCTCAAATTTCTAGAGCAGATAATTTGTCATGTAAGTCTTGCAGCAGTGACAGGCTTGTGTCTTTTCAGGATACCATGCATCAACCTTTCCAGTGCTATTTGAAAAGCATCTGTAAGATTTTGGGAGGCTGTATGTCACTGTTGCTTTCTTTTTTACCACATTAATCCTTGAGACAGCTCTGATGAATCCACAAGGAGGCTGGACACCCTCTGTGAAACTTGCCTCCCCATGAAAGCTCCTCTGCAAAACCAGAAGGGACCCCCTATTACGTTCATCCATAACTTCCGCACATGTTCCTGCCATTAATACCATGTATTCAGCACTCCAGCCTGCAGCAGCAGAAAGGCTTTGCAATCCAGGTAGGTGGAGGCTGATAGAGGCAGGTGGGATATGCAGAGCAAGGCACAAGATTATTATCATTATTCCAACTGATATATTGACACCTATGAGTTTCAACATCTTGCAAATTCTGAATTATAGAATTGCCACTGATAGTGCCCTCCACTACTCCTACTCCAATAATAAGGGCTCAGGTGAGGATACTCTTCTATTATTGACAGCTTTCCAAATTTGCAGTGATTTTTGAAGTAGTTAATTTTATTTATCCAGATCATTTTCCTTCTTGGGAACAAACTGGTCCTCACTGCCTAGAGCTCAGGTAGACTGATGCAATGCAATTAAATCTTTCACACTCTTGCAAGTAAATCTGCTTTCAAATGAGTGCACAGCTGCCAGTGTGTGCTTGATATATTTATTTGCTTTGAAATTATTTAGCTACTATCACTTCTTCAGACAGGTCATCTTCTGGATGCCAGTAAAGTCTCCAGAATCCTATGCATTTTGTCAGAATTTTAGAGCTCCTAAGAAATTTTTAGTGCTTGCATTAAGAGTCTTCATTAACACTGTGAAGTTGCATACAGTAGCTATGTCTTAAAGTGCTGGAATTAAAAGTCCTAAAAGATTTTCAAGATGACAGTTGAAAATGGCACATAAATCTTCTGTTGCTTCAAAGTGACTCTATTTATTACAAATACAATCTCCAAAATCAATATTTGAGCACAATAAAAACACCTGTTTGCCACTCTCCTTCAGCTGCACAATGGACTCACTATCAGTGTTCTTACCCTTATCCAAATGCTCTCAGGAACATTCTGGAGACACTAAAAAAATTACCTAAGGAACAAAAAAGTTTGACCTTTCAAAGAATAACCTACAAGGTCAGTCTCATGGCCTGTTGCCATTCATATATTTTCAGCTTATGAACATATCTTAGCATCAAATTCCTAACAATTGAATTACTGTGTTTTGCTTGTTCTCTTTCTTCCAAAGGTGTATTTATCTTAGACCCTTACACCTTCCAAAACTATCCCAAAGGTGTATTTTAATTTTTTTTGCAAAGCAAACCTATGGAGTGTAATATTTTATTTCCTTGAAGTTTTTACCTTCCTTCAGAATGCTAGGCAATATTTTCTTGTCTTTTATCTTTCAATATTTTGCATGAAGGAATTAAAGAACTACCATTTGTCCACTTTAATTTCCAGGAACTAATAAATAAAACCTTTCCTGGGTATCTACAAGGGTATTTGCTTCACTGGGGAACAGGATAAGAAAAAAACTTTTCCAGAATTTTTTTTTAATACATTTATATGAAATTAGTTTGTCCTTTTCTTCCAGTTTTTAGGTAAATTTCAACCTATGGGAAAACAACTGTTACTACCATATGTTTGGACCCTATCTCATGGTGGATCTTTTCCATGAGGTAAGTCTATGTAGTTCATCACAAAATGACTCAATAAGCTGCTTAACTGGCAATTATGTTTGGTTATCAGTCTTTCATAATGCCATCCTTCCCCTTGTATCTCCCAAAATGCATACCAGTCTGGCCAGTAAATGATCAGCCTCCACTGACTCACTTCAGTGTTTAACTAAAACTTATCAGCACATTCTCCAAGTAACAAGGGAAGTCACTTGTGATTCAGCAAATGCATTCAAAATATTCTTTGGCTACGTCGTAACAAAATTCAGATATTCTAATTCCCTTATCATAGAGGCTTGTAGGAAAGGTCTGATCAGCTTTTGCGTCAAGATCTCAACATCCATCAAAACAGAGTGAGAACTTGAAACAGATTCTGCAAATGCCATGACAAAAAGTATCGGTTTGTTCTTTACATTAGGTAGATATTTTATAATCTTGACAAAGGAACTTTTATACCTAATTTAGTGGGGAAAAAAGAGAAATGTGATATAATCATCCCTTTTATCTGCTAAGGCACTGTAAAAATGGTGATTTTGAATGTTGCATTTAAAAATTAGTATCAAACTAACAGCTTCCTCACACACATTCTCACATGTACGTGCACAAAGACACAGGCTCTCCTAGTAACTTACCATTTAGCTCAGTTAAGTCATTCCCCTTCCTCTTAGCACCTATCAAGTGCTATCTCATCTTCATGATTTTAAAATTCTTGTAACACATTTTGCTTTATTTTCATGAGATTTCTCTCTCATTCTTGTGTCACTCACTTCAGATGCTGAAGTTACTTTTGCATATTCTCACTGATGCTGTTGTTTCCAATTAAATGCAAATTCAGTAAGAGTTAAAATTGTGAGTCTTCAACATTCCTAAAGATCTGACTGTGGGAAAATAGATTAGCCTGGTAAGGGACATTTCACATTCAGAATTCATATCACTTTCTGGTTTTAATGACTGCAACAAAATACATTATTTTATGATATGCATCTGTACTTTCAGGAAGCACTATGAAACCTATCTTCTCTCCTTGGGTCTAGGTAACTGGGAATAATGAATTTTGTCTAATGCTCTCCAGCATAGAAAGCAAATGAAACAAAACAAATACTTGCAAATAGGTTACAAGAAACTCTGTAATCTGATGGTGAAGCAAAACCATGCCAGTAGTTTCTGAAGTACTCTGTACATTTAATTCATCTTAGTTAGTATGGATCACTAACTGGTTATGGAAAGAATTCCCTAAGCGTGGTGATTTGAATTCCAGGTAAAAGACAGCAGAAGCCATCAGTGGGCAGAAAGGTGAGGCTGTGTTATTTCTGACTAAAAGAAAAATGACAAGACACCTGCTTCAGAAGACTTGGACTAAAATAAAATTACCATATTCTATGGTAGGAGTATGGAGGAGACCCCGCTGTTTTCAGAGCTCTACAGCAAAGACTCTGACTCCACATTACTTCAACTGTATTTCTTTAAACTGTGTGTTAAAAACAGATAAACAAACCCACACAGCCTGTCTGCAATGAGCTTTGCAAACCACAAAAGGATTGCAAAGTGACTGCTTGTTAAACACTGTTTCTTCAGTGTCTCAGATTAGTTCAGACACAGCATAAAAAAGCATCCAAGGAGAAATGCCAAGTCTTTTTGCATTGAGATGCCCCACTCTCTAGAGGCCTGGGTTTATGTAACTGTTCACAGACATGAAACATACCACAGACAAAAAGAAGAAAATGCAATAAATCATCTGTGGTGGCTGGAGAGTAGAAGGACAGGGAGATATACTAGAGAATATACTGACAAACTCCACACTGCAAGGTTGGGAACACTGATCCATTCATTCAGATCATCAGCTCAGTTACTATAGAAGACAAACACCCTTCCACTGTGGGGGCAGAGGCAGCAGGAAGAAGAAAATGGGAAAAAGCAAGCAAATGAAATCTCTTATTGAAACCTCAGTAATTGTCTCCTTATCTATGCACACTGAAGAACACAGATCCACTTGGAGACCAGCCGTCTCAGAGTTAAATTAACCTGGTCAATAAAGCGTAAAGTGGACAAGAACAATGTCTTAAAAGCCATTTCCATGATCAGAAACACTGTTAAACACAAGAACATTCTAAATCAGGCAAAGCCAAACAGTTTTCAAGACAAGCTAAGCAAAATGCCATTGAAGGCGAGACATTAAAGGATGCACACAATTTATTTTTTTAAATTTGCAGTTTGTCTTCCTAGCAAATGTCTGATTATTTTGCCTGAGTTGCAAGCATATTCGTGAGGACAGAGATGATGTCCTCTCGGATTGCAAGTGACTTAGTATACAGCAAACACTGCCCCAGATGTACTTCCCAAGGTTTTTGGCTTTTTCCGCCCAGGTGCCAAATTGCTCAGTCAAGTAAAAATTTCTTATGAAACTCATCAATTATAGAATTCCTTCCTTTACTTTCATATAAGCACAAACAACAGCAGCACTACTGTGCACATCACAATTCATCTTCATCATGCAAAGTCCACAGCTTTTTCTAGTTTGCGGCTTCCCCCCCCCCGCCCCCAGTACTCACGTCCAGCAGACAAACACATTTAAACAAACTGTGAAGTCTCTAAACAAGAGCAGGAAATTAAGTGCACCTAAACTAGAATCCATTCTCTGTAACATGGTGCACAGCTCTTCTAAAAGAAAACCAAGTATTTACTCATCATCCTACTGTGAAGTTTTTGGAAATTTAGTATAAATCCTGGCACTGTTTTTTCCTTTCTAATCTTAAATAATTTCAAGTAATTTTAAAGAAAAACCATAGATCTAAAAATAGTTAATTTAATTCCTGGTTTATATTTTTTTTCTGCTTTACTGTAGCGTTAAGTTGGCTATACTTTAAATAAACGTTTCGTTCATTAAGTTAATTTAGTCATGTTATCTCCAACTAACCCAAAAAATCTAGTTCCTACGAGGAAGATAACTCACACACCTAACAGAGATGTTCAAAGCTGCTGTTCTTCACTTAACGTTATTGAGGTATGGCTCTAAAGCACAAGAGGAAGGGGATGTAGTGCTTTCTGAAGTCTGTGTCAAACTAGCACTGTTTTAGGAAGGACGCTGTCAAAGGCAGATAGGGATTTTATGGCAATTGAATGATGTCCATTTCAAAAACTGTATCCCTTCTCATAGGAGAAAATATTGCTTACCTTACTGATAAGGGTGACGACATCACCTTCTCGGATTGTGAGTTCATCATCATTCTGTGCTTCATATGGAAATATCACTTTGCAATACTCCTTGGCTGAAATGAAGAACATACAATATGATAAATTATCACTTTATAACAACTGCTTCTCCAAGGGCGAAGATCTTCCTAAAATGTCCCACAAGTGTCTCTTCTGTTTTCTTGCTGTCTTTCTCTTTGTATTTTAGACCTTCATAAACAGTATAAAATATTTAAAAAACTGCACATCATCCAGGGAGTCAGCTCTGTAGCCCCCCGAACCATTACCTCAAATGAAATTGCTCCAGATGGCAACCTGCCACAAATCATTTCCCTTGGAGTAAGCCTATGTCTGACACCTGCTTCAACAGTTCCACTGCTATGGCCTTCCACCAGATCACATGAATTGGAAGCATAAAGGACCCAATAGGTTGACATAGCTTATCTACCCCTGGTGTGCAAGAAAACAGATATTTCTGCATCTACAAAGATGATAAAATAAGTAATACATTAATAAATGAAAAGGTTTATGGTTTGATTTTATGATCTTAAAGGTCTTTTCCAATGTAAATGATTCTATGATTCTATCACAAAACTTTTGTGCACCCAGCATACAAGAAGAGTTTTGAATATTAGTAAGTTTCCTCTTCCCTTTACTGTCTGTATATAAGGGCATCATCTCAACTTTCATCTGGAAAATACAGGAGCCAGCACTCCTACTCAGAAACCATTAAAAGCAGTTGTCATGAAAAGAAGTTACTTACAATGTGTTGCTGTGCAACAGACAAGTATGTCAATGTGCCTTACAAATAAAAAGGGAATATGTATTCCAGCTGTTCAATAATGCATAAAAACATGTGATACTCTATAACAGCAGGTTTAAAAAGACCAAAGAAACACACAGAGAAATTACTAGACCCTTTGTAGAAGGCACGCGACTCTGTAGAAGTGTTCTCCTCATTTAAATGTCTCAATGTTGATTACCTCTACCTCTAGTTAATGGGCATATTCGATGCAGAGAAATGGGTACCTGCAGGACACAGAAATCTAAACTAATCTGAAACAACGGGACCTATTTCTTTAGACTTACACTAAAGAGAGCCTGCATTATCACACTTGTGGGTATCTGAGGCTCCACTGAGGGGTCAGTTCAGCTGCCCAGACACTAAGTACCATTTCAGAAACCCGTGGGTAAGACACCCATGTGGTTGGCATGATGCATAACCTATGGAAGAGCCAGGTCCCTCTGGCCCAGCAGCTGGAGGCAAGCCAAAATACCCTGGGATGTCTCAAACAGCTCCCAGTGCAGGCTGCTGAACTGAGCCCTCAGGGCTGGACCTGGTATGTGGACTTAGATTTGGGCACCCGACGTTAGAAACCAACCATGTCAGTGCCTACAGTCGATGGAGATCAAGTCAGTGAAGTGAGCGAAGCCTTGAGAGCTGCTCTTCACCCCAAGAGCAGACACCTACATTTGATTAGCTGAATCACACTCTGAACTCCCTGGACAACACTGACAGATCTTCACTGGGGCCCACGGAAGCCCAGACACCAAACTCGCATGGCTGTAATGAAACTTAGGCTCTGACGCAGAAGCTGCATCCCAAGCTCTAAGGTTTAGTGACAGGAACATCAACCTTAAATAAGCAACCAACGCACGTGCAGGTGAAGGCACAATCAGCCTGAGAAGTGAAACAGTTCACGCGCTGCCGCTCAGAAATGGCATGAATTTTATGTGGCACTGGCTCAAGTAAACAAGAATTTCTTAGACTTCACAGATTTATTTTCCTGAACGCAAAAATTTAAATATATCTACAGTCGTTAGCAGTTAGTTTTCTGTCCCAGCCCTGCACTGGGTCTGGCTGGGATGGAGTTCATGTCCTCCACAGCAGCCCACACGGTGCCATGACTTGGATTTGTGACTGAACCAGCACTAACAACACACCAGTGTTGTGGCTACTGCTGAGCAGTTCCTGCACAGTGCCACAGCTTTCTCTTCCCCCACTCTGCCCCACAGTGAGTAGGCCAGGGGCAGGCAAGAAGCTGGGAGGCGACACAGCCAGGAGAGCTGACCCCAGCTGAGGGAACGGATAGTCCCTGCCATAGAACCTCCTGCTGAGCAATAAAAAAGGGTAGGCTTGGGGGAGTTGGTCTGGGAGGTAGCCATTGCCTGGAGGCTGGCTGGGTATTGTAGTAGATGGTGAATGATTTCTTCTGCATCACCTCTTTTTTTTCCACTCTCATTCACTTATTAAACCATCTTTAACCATGAACTTTCTTGCTTTTGCTCCCCCCTGTTCTCATCCCTTTAGAGGAGCAAGTGGCCTGGTGGAGCTTAGCTGCTAGCTGGGGTCAAACCAACATACCCTCTGCGATCTCTCTGAAGAAACAAGAGTCAGATGAAGACATGAACACGACCTTTGAAGAAATATGAGCAAGGGAAAAATAAGCCTCTTTCGCTGTTTCTGAGAGCAGGGAATACTGTCAAATAAACATTTGGTGACACTGTCAAATGACTGGGCATGTGAGAACCACCATGTCACAACTCAGATTACAGGCGATGAAGGGGGTGTCTAACTGCTAGTTTACTGCATTCTGGAAGAAGGGTTTGGATCTTTCTTCAGGGACCCACCTAGGATGTTTCAACTGTTCACTGTCCTGAGGACAAGACAGTATAATAACTTTTTATGTAAAAGCTGGTGGAAAGTTGACACATACTGACTTTGGTCAGGTAGATGGAGAGCAGCATGTAAGAGAAACATGAGATTCAGCACATTTTCACACTTCAGTGTGTACACTCCCTTAAATAACCATGGGGGGGTGGGGGTGGGGGGCGTTTCCTATTCTGAGACTATCTCCATTCTGTAAAACAGCTTTGCTAAATAACAGATTCAGTGGATTAGTACAGAGATGATGTAGATATAATACTGTACTAAAGAAGCTGAGTGCTGCATACTCAGGGAAGTTTCTGGTTACTGGAAACAGGCTCAGCACCTCTTTTTTTGGGATGCAGAACAGAAGGAGTCTGGGTTCTTGGAGACAAACACCACCTGGGCCCAAGGAGGATCACTCCTGAGTATCTATTCTTAAGGTACATAAATTGTTTCTCCATTCACTATATAATCTATACACTGTATAATCTCAAGATTAGATGGGAAGCCAAGCACAACACAGAGCTCATCAAGAGCCACTATACCACAGTAACAGTCCTATTCTGACAGGATGCCAGCGGTGCAGCTCTCACCCAAGGCGTGGATGAACCCCATGTGCTTCAGGTTAAAGAATGCTTTGAACCTCGAGTCTCCAAGGGGCTCATGTCTCCTGAATCCTGTAACAATCCCCCCTCAGCTCCCTCTTGCTATTTGAAGACTAAATTTGAATCATCCTTCAAGATGAAGACCCAACAGACTGGAGAGAGGGTTGTGGTTTCAGCATCTGAAAAAGTCAGCTGATAACCAGGAAAGTAAGTGCTCTCTTTCTTCTTCTTTCTTTTTTTTTTTTTAAGCTTTTTCCCTAAAAGTATGTGTCAAAGTGGATGTCATAGTAAGTGGCTGTCGAAGCAGCAAGACTAACCAGATAACTCAGTCTTTCCCCATACAGCAAATGCTTATGCATGTTCGCCTTCTAGTTTTGATATCAAGGACTCGGTTCTCCTATGACCCGTCTGCCCTCTTCACCACGTTCTTACCTTTCTTCTTTATTTTTTTTTTTTTAATATCCAGACATCAGAGAAACAAGGCATTAAACTGTAACAAAAAAAACCCCAAAAGCAGATCTTAGGCTCAGCCAGATGCTGATGGGAGTGCATGAAGAGCAAGGAGACAACCTTGTGAGAAGCAGAAGAGAGCTGGGGGAGCCCCATGGCCGCCCCGTGCTCTGAAGGCTGCTGCAAGGACACAGGGTGAAGGCACAGCCATGGAAAAATGCAACGGTATATGCACAGTAGAAGCCTGGACTTGCTGAGCATGACTCGGACTGACATACACCAAATCATACATTCCTCTGCCTAACAAGGATCCTGTGGATCGTATTGCACAGCTAGGTCTCTCAACAACACAGATGGGTTTGGAACAATGTAAGTGACTAGATAAAGTCAGCTTTCAAACTTCTCCTAAGGGAATGGTAGACCAACATGATTTAGGTAAGCAAAAGCAAAGCCAACAAGATTCAAAATAGTATGAACCTTTAAAATCAGATTAATAAAAGCAGAGAAAAATCTAATAGGTTTTGTCACTTCAGTACTAAAATTGGCCTTACTCAGCAGAGCACAATACCACAAGAGGATATAGAAACACTTAATTTCAACACTTATGCTTAGATAGGAAGGAAGAAAAGATAAAAGGAAATTCTAACTTCAGACACCTCACTGTAGAGACCACACTGGAACTTGCTGAATTTGGGGGTTTTCCAAGTGAAAAAAACCCACAAAAAAAATAAAGGTCAAAATAATATATCCTATTACAAGCCTGGTAAACAGAGTAACGCCAAATTAAAACTTCAAACTGAGATACCAAAACTATAGATGATAAATTGCATTCTTACATTTGACATCCAAGGCTGGGTATATACAACACAGATGGCTCTTCCAGAAGCCTCTCTTATTTTCCTCTGACCTGAAGACACTTTAAAAATACACTTGCTAATAAACCCCCAACAGCAGACCTCTTGGGAACAGTAAGGGAGGAGAAAAGATTATATTAATGAGCTTTTCAGTCCTCATTTATTAATTCAATAATAAATCACTGTCAGACCACAGAGTCTCTCCCTGCAAACTCACAGCTTCTCCTAAGCAAAGGAGAACAACCCCCCACAGGCAATGGGCATTGCTCAGTGAACAGAGTGAGCAGATAAACCTCACAGTGTATCCTACAACTCAAACAGGCTGGATCTAATACAGGATGTTCAACTTGTGTCCCAACATGTTATGAACTGAAAGGGCTCCACTTCCTGTGATTTTTGAACTGTACTGTTCCAACTACGCTAGGTACAATGACGACACAACAATAAGCATCTTCTCTGCCCAAGTCCCTTCTAGTCCTGTCCTTTGGAAGGAAGAACACCTTTCCCAGCATCATCCTGGTAGCTTAGAAGCTGGACGAAGAAGCAGCAGCAAAGAACTAGGTATTTATCACAAGTGGTCTGTCACTGCCCAACCTTCACTGAGGAAAAAGTCTCAGGACCATCCTAAACACTATAAAGGGGCTATCCTCTAAAAAGAACTGGATGCTTTATGGGGGTAGTTAACATGCATCTCTGTTCAGCACCTTATGTCGCACACTCTGTCCTGAGTTCAAAATGTGGTCTATTTGATACAGTCTCAAGAACCCCTCAAAATCATTGCCTCGAAGAGACAGCTGCTTTATTACCTAGGCTGTTGCAAGCACTGTATTCCACCCTCAAAATGCAGTGGTTTGTATGTATTCAAAATTACAGTGTAAAGCACTGATTTCAATGTGCAGACCTTCCATGTAACCGGGGGTCCTGCAGTACTGTAGCAGGTAAATTTCATTTGTTTGTGTTCTGAGAGATTGGTTAAATATCATATTGTTTAAACCAGCACTGAGAAAATTCCATTTACTGTGTCAGTGGACCCTGTTCACTTTAAAAGCATACCGCTTCTATTTGTTCTCCTGCCAGACTCTTAGGATGAGCTGACGTTCAAGAGAGCAGCCCACAGACAAACATACCTTTCAAGCTTAAATTTCACAGGGGACAGTGACTCTGGAATTTGCTTTTCCTCTTAGGATAGGATGACACAATTTCCTCCTCTTAACTCTGCTGCTGCTGCTTTTTTGTTAGGCAAGAACTGTTCCACCCCATGGCAAGATTTCGTCTGTCTCAAGTAACCCAAACACTGGTGTGGATTCACCCTTCTACCTTTTCAGAAACTGTTGGTGGTTTTTTTTTTTTAAGTAAAACAACAAACCTGCACAGTTGATTTTTGGTGCTTAATATTGATGAAGTCTAAATCACACACCAATCAATATCACACAAGCAGTAATAGTACGTAAGAAAACAAGCAGCATTACAGTAGTATCCCTTGAGCTTAAGCTTCCTCTCTTTAACTCATAAATTGTTACTGAAATGGAACGTGTAAAATCTAGTCAAGAATTACATCATTTTTACCAAAACCAAAAGACGTGACAAAAACCCCGAACATTACATTCAGCAGAATTTGGTTTTACTATGAACTGCTGCACTCAAGGCTCATAAATGGATAGCACTAATAAATATTTCCACAAAACTTCACAAGATTCAAACTGTCAAAACATCATCTCATCAAACAAAAATAGAAACAGAACTAATTAGGGCCCCATTAATCTAGATTCAGCTACCCCTTATACCTTTTATCATCATTGAAAAATATTAATTGCTTGCTAGGATTCTGGTATTCTTATTCTGCAATAGTTTAACACAAGCTGTAAATAGTCACAGAGTGGAGTAACCAAATTCAGCGCCACAGCCAATGTATTCTGTGACTTAGTGCCTTTACTGTTCTGTTGTCTGCTTAGTTACATTTCATTTTTGCAATCTCAGTAACATGCAATAGCGTTCGCAGTCACTGTGGATGTTTTTGCTTTGCTGAATTTTGGAATTCAACAGAGCTACTTAAAAATTTATATTTATTTCCTACAATAAAGCCTTTTCACTGCAAGCCACTTAAACTAAAAGCAAGCTACTTCATGGGAAAAAAACATATCTCACCCCAGAGATATAATTCTAAACAAAAATGCATGCATGTGCCATCCCAGATATGTAAGAGATGGAAATTCAACAGCAGAATAATTCCCCAGTAAGTCTAGGCACCCACAAACCTAAACCAAACAGCTCTCCCCTCTTCTCTTCAAAGATGCATTCCTAGATGTTTTCCAAGGGCCCACTCAAGCTCTATAAGGATTTGTGTTTTCACTGTGCTCTCCCTTTGAGCAAAAAGTTCTGTATGGCTCTGAAGAGGCACCTGTTTATTCCCCAAAATCTTAAGCCTACTCCTCAGGTAGATGTACACGGCATATTTTTGGGAGATGCACCTACAGAACATACTGCTGTGTCTCTTGCTCTGACCAACTCATCCCACTGCAGAACTTAGGCCATCTTGCACGCACTAAGAGCAAAGGGTAAGCACATCAAGTGCCTTGCTGCAAGTCACTGCCCTATCACATGAGAAAAGGTATAGGAAAAAAGCAGACTCAAATCAAGATGTGGGAAGAGTCAGCAACCATCACCCCATGCTGAAGCCCCTGTGGACAGAGAGGGAAGATGTTACTGCTCCTGTTGCCTCTCCCAGAAGACTGTTTCACAGAGCAACTGCATTTTTTATCCAGTTGAGACTAAGGAATAACAGCATCAGTCATGGAAAGAAGCAGGTGAAAGATGAAAAATTTTATTATTACTCTACTAACGTATTCTCTCTCTCTTGCAGCACGCATCTCCAGCAGTAATCCCAAGGGATTCTGAATCACATACCCAAAAGCCCCCTCCCCAATACTGAGTTTAATCTATGGATCATCCCTTTCTTGCTAGTTATTCAGAGAATGGCACAGTATCTGTCTTGTTCAGCAATTAAAGACTCCAAGGAAGACTGGGACATTACCATCCCAGGCAAAAGTGCAAGTAGCTGAGGTTGATGGCAGAATGATAGTTTTATGCTGAACACCGTGATTAAGACATTCTCCAGTTTTCTAAGACTGCAAACCCCTGGATTCGATGCTTATTTGTGGTAGATTTTTAGGGGAAAACAAAAATTCTGAAGAAATGATAAATACTAGATATTTCACGCTCCTATGCCAGACTCTGATCATACTAATGATCCCTTAAGGCTAAGACAATTATATATAATTACATTATATCAGACCTTCCTATACATGTGCTACTCTACCCCAAGCAAGAAGAGAGATGCCAAAAATTCTACCGAGCCCCCAGAGATTCCAGAAAAGATAAAATATCCAAAGCAATAAAGTTCAGGTAAAAATTATAGAACATGCAAAGATACTGTACAAATAAGTAGCCCACTCTTCTCACCAGTTCTGGCAAAAGGGACGTTGAATGATGTTTGCACATAACCATGGCAAAAATAGATGGCAACAGAAGAAGACGATTTTCTGACCAAAAATGCATGTCTGAGGGAAATAACAAAAAGGTGAAAGAACAACCAACCAAAGCCCGAAAGTGTTGATGGGGAAGTGTCTCTGTGTCAACCAGAGCCCAATGTGTCACTGTAGAAGGTACAGTTCTCTAACCATTGTGCAGAAGGTTTCCACATTTGTTTGTAAGTGGTAAAAGTATGAAATCCCAGTACCCTGGGATGTGATTTAGTGAGCTGCTGTCTCGCAGCCTGGCTTACCACACAAGGGTTAGTGCTGCAGGGAGCAAAGCCCATGGGACCACCCCTTCTGATGGCACCTGCACTCAGGTCAGCTTAACCTGCTCGAGCTGCAGGTTGGGAGATGTAATTCCAAAATGCATTGGTTCAGGAGCCCTGGTCTACAGTACCAGTTAGCATATTTTTCGGTATTTCAAGTTCTCACTTCTCAGAGCAATTGAGTTCTTGCAGTACTTCCCATTAACAGCCTTGGGTCACAAGTGGAACAAGGTAAGAGGATGCAGCAAGACAATTAGTGTGGTGCAGCTAATGGACAGTAACTCACTAAAAGCTGTTTTAGGCTGCTTTTGCAACTCGGAGCTGAAAATGTGGTAAATCACGTCATAACCATACACTTCTCTAAGACGGCCCCTGCAGTGCTGCTCCAGATGCTTGCCTTCCTGTGTCTGTATGTGTTTCAGTCCTGAGACAAAACGTTATCTGCTGACTATCTAAGAGGATAAAAACATCAGGGAAGGACCGTGCAAGACCTAAAAATTCAATACTTTATATTATACTCAATTTCTTTTAAAGGTATGGTTATCTTCTCTTCCTTCTTATTCTCTCCTACCAGAATCTGTAACATTTAGTTGTAACTTTGTATCAGTAAAATCAAAAGACGGGGAATATATACACAAGTTATTTAGTAAGCTAGCTACATATGCCTCCCTGGAACAGTACTGAGACCTGCCTAGCAGATTTTATTACTGGGAGGTTTTACTAAGCATTGAAATGATGAAAACAGAACTGAAGTTCTTGGAGACCATTCATTTCCCATCCAAACTATACCACCCACACAGATTATTTCTGCTACAGGGAGAAAGAGAAGAAAAAAGCAAGGCCACTCACAACCAGAGATATTTTTCTATGACCTGCCTACCAGTTACAGCCTGAAGTTGGATCTTATTCAACTCTGATTAATTCTGAGGTACCCTCAAGGCTGAAAGCTGATCACATAATCTAATTTGATTTTTGGTGGCAGAAAACTCGAGGTGGGATTATCAGAGCAAAAACAATTCAGAGGATTCTGTAAAACAAAGCATTCTGTCTGTGTACCGCCTACTCAAAGTTTATCCTAAATATATCTATCTGCATCCTCACTTTTCATATATATACTCTTTCAGGCAGAACCAGAGAAAAGTGTTCAGCTTGCTCCTAAGAGGCTTAATAGCGCACAGTGCAAAGAAGAAAAAACTGTGAAACCTACTTTTTGCTTTGCTGTCCACTTCTATTTTTGTTGGCTCCTGAGTAGCTGTGGCTGGAGGTAATTTCTTCCCAACATTCTGGAAAAAAAAAATATTCTCCTTTAAAATTTGCAGGTTCAGTTAAAAGTTGGACAACATAAAAAAATTGTAACAAACCCACAAAATACAGGAGTAGAAACAGGACAGTAAAGGAACAGAGACAAATTAAACTATACTTAGGTTTGTCTGGGGGAGTTTTGTTAGCTTAAAAAAAAAAAAAAACACCAAAAAAACAATTCATAACAAATGATCCTCAAAATTTCCCTTTAAAAATATGTTTACCAAAGTTTTCAAACATTAACCCCTTAACACAGTTTTAGGGAAGACTCACAGAAATTTAATTGGTGGACTGAATATGTGATGAAATTACTTAAGGAAAGATGCTATTTAGCACCAAAAGTGAAACTGAAAGAAGAGTGGAGGAACACCACCTTAACTTCTGTCCATACAAGGAGTGTTCACTTCAGTTATTCTAGACTAAGACTTTTAAGTTGACAACGTCTCTTTAAATGGTTCCCATATTCGTTTATTTTGGACAATAATAACCAATTTACAGAGGAGTACTACAATAAGCAATAATCAGCCTGGGACAGGTAAGTTGAAAGAACAGTAAACAAACATTATCTGCCCCCAACAAAATAAAATAAAATCGGGGATATTCATCTTTATGTATCTTCACCAGTAACCATATACATGCTATCCCATCACTCACTCAGCTTTTCTCCCTATCAAGAAAGCCGTCCAGCCTTAAAATCCCAACCATGTGTAGTTGAGGACATAAATTTAATTGTTTATGTTGCATATGAATACTTAGTTAGTTTAACATCCTTTTCTGGTAAGGTATATATAAACACCACAAAACCTTCTCCATACTCCAGTGACCTTCTGAGTGAAAGCTAAGAGACAAGAGTGCTAAGATTTAAGTCTTGAAGGCACTGAGGTCCTCTTGGGGACCATGAGGAAAACACTGGTCAATATGAGAAGCAATAGGAATACGTAGTTGAAAAATTTCAAGGTCTGAGAAGAATATGAAGAGCTCCATACTAGTCATTTTGTACATTAATTGTGCCGAATATATCTCTGAAAAGGAGTATAATGCATACACAGGGATTTTAGGCTGTCAAAGAGCACTCTGAAAGAGAGGTAGTTTTGAGACTTGTGCACCAGTGATTGAATTTGTGCTGACGAGTAAGACGAACTATGGATTACAATACCTAAAAGTGTCCTGTTGCAACTGAACTTGCTGGTGGCAGCAGAAACAACTGACCTTCTGCTGAGCTTGCAACCCTGCTTACAATCCAGAGTTTGTGAACTGTTGGAGAAGAGAGATCAACAACAAAAGTCTACAGAACCTCCCAACTTCTTTGCTGAGGTGGGAATGAGAGATGAGAAGCATTATCCGAAGCAGCAGCAGGGAGGTAACAGAAAAACAGGAGATAACGAACTCCTGCAAATCACGAGAGGGCAAAACTGAGAAAAGAGTATGACCTGGCTGTGCTGAGGGAGCTGACTCTGAGATTCAGCTGGAGAGCAGCGAAAATTGTACTGGAAGAGATACAACGAAGAATCTGAAGCTACTGGGCATTCAGAGAGATGAAAGCACAGAATGCCTTCAAGTTGAAAGCAAGACGGGGAAGACAGCTTTTGGTTCAGAGACAAACAGTGCAGTTAAGATGGTTGTGCATCTCAGTATGTGCTCATTCATTCAAGCTAAAATTTAAGAAGGTAAAAATCATGGAAAAAAAAGCATGGACAAAGAGGAAAAACCTAGTCTATGCGAGTGGGAAGGGCATGCTGCAATGTAATTTCTTAATTTATAGAAGCAGATCCAAGTGCAATCCTTGAAAACATTAATTCATCTGGTCATTCAGAAAGAATGCCTGTGCAGGTGATAAATCAGCATGGGGAACCATCTGACTCCTTAGGAACAGAAAAGAGAATACCATCCAAACAAGACTGTTCTTTTGTTGGAAGCCAGGTCAGAAAGCAGTCTTTGCATGAGTTGCAATTTGTTGAGGAGAGAAGGTAAAAAGCCCAGGGAGCAAGGTGGCTGAAGACACGACTCTCTTTGCACATACAGAAATAGCCTGAGCAAAGAAACAAGAAACTGGATTCCTAACAGGTCTACTGATAGGTAAGGAGCAGCGCAAAACTGGGTGGAACATGTAAAACATGCTGAAAGACCTCAGTGACCTACAAGACCCAAAGATCATTTATTGTGGAATGAGCAAAGTTGTCCCAGCATTCCATGATGTGAAGAGGAAGGAATATTTGTATCTACTTGGAGGACACAGAAAATCATAAATCAAGTAATTTAAACAAGGGTTGCACAGAACTCATTCTAGCGAGGAGGGACCCCTGAATTTGTTGTGGGACAAAGAGAGGAGGAGACAAGCGGAAATGGTATTAGTATTCTTTAATTGTAAGGGGACTGCACCCAAGAATTTATATGAGTGACACAAGCACGACTAACAGGAAAAAAAGAAAAAAGTGAATAAGCCATGCAAATCTGGTTTCAGGTGGACCTGCACTGTCAAGATGTTTTACTCTTCCTGTAAACTGGTAATAAAGAAGATGGGTTTTTTAAATTATTATTCATTTATGTAACAATTGGTCTATATAATCCATGCATTTGCATGGAAAACATTTATTACCATTTTCTGAAAACATCTCCATGAAAGTTAATATAGTACTCATTTGTTCATTACGAAACATGCAAGAGAAACTTTCCTCACTCTAAGAGACACTGAATCCTCAATGATTTTTTAAGTCCAATGGTTCTGCTTTAGCAGGATAAAACCTCAAGTATGGCAAAGATCTGTGTGCTGAAATTCCCAGAGAAAGCAATATTATCACAGTTACCAATTTTTCTGACAAGAAAAGAGAAATGGGAGACAGACATGTCTCCTCCCATATAAACAGAAACTTTCCTTCTGACTCCCCAACATCACTCATACAGGTCAATAGTCTACCAAATTTATTAGTGGCTAGGAGAACTGACCAATCCCAACTTAAATTCTTGCTGATGGAACACGCATATCAGTGACACAGACTTTTCTTCCCAGGGACTAGTTATTATAGAGTATTTTGGTCTCTTTCCCACAATTTATCAACATCTCCTTCACTTCTGAAAATGTAAACATGGGAACAAAGAACACTCTAATTGGGTTGAACTGAAGATTTCAATGTAATTCCTTCTCCTCTGTTCTTCCTTACATAAGAAGAAAGTGAATTGAGAACAAAACATCCTCTGAGGCCTTCTAGACATACTGATCTATGCTGCAAAACACTATATACAACTCCAGCTTTCTCATTACTTAGTCTTTTACCCAAACTCATTGCTACCTATGGCTCAATATTCCCAAGAAGCAAGGAGATCTTACCCATTTGAGACACAAGCACAAACTAAATTTAAAACTTGAAGGACTTTTTTGGAATTTAGACAGTCTAAATCCAAGAGCAGGATCCTCAACTCTGCCAGCATCCCCTGACATCTCTCAGCACAAACTCTTTCCATTTACCTAACTCTATCATTCTGTCAATAACGTTTGCAATAAAGTTACACGCAGCACAAACCAGAACACCCATAATGACACCCTCCCAGCAGTGCCCTAATCACCAGGCTGTGAAGTCAAGCGAAGTTCTGCAGTTTCTCTCTGGCCCTGTATATCTTGAATTCTAAAAAAGGGTAGCATATCCACCTCTGCCTTTGTATCTCTAGCCTGGTGGTTTAGAGACACTCCTGAAGAGTACCACTTCAGTTTCCCTCTATCCTCCTCCTGTATGCTGACTACCATATCTCACTCCTAGTGTGGCAGCCAGCCTTGTTCCACTTACATCACTCTGCAGATATCACTCTGACTTCCTTAGTCCTGTCACACAAGAAACACATGGTAGAAACAGAATTCAGATTTCCTGACTCCAAGCCTAGGTTGACTCCCAACACAAAACAGAACACATCAACAAAACAAGGAGAATCTTGATCCCACTACTTCTTCAAGGCGAGTATAATTAGATTATTTAGCTGTCAGATACAGATCGCCCTAATCGTTTGACAAGCAAATCCTAAAGATCAAAGGAGATTAAGTGCCCTCTTGCTGCAGAAACAGCTGATAGAAGCATCAATAATGACCGTGATTTGGTGTACAGATATTCAGAGGGATGAGACAGATTTAGCAGCAACCTGCCAGTCTTAACACTTGGTTTTATGAAGCCAACAGAAGGACAGCATTAAATAACAGGTTATGTTAGCAGAAGAGGCCTTGATGGCAGTACGGTACAATGCAAATCCCTATCACTGCAGACCAGTTTCCTCTGATACTGAATTAACAGTGATTACAAAAGTAGTTGAGGTGGCACACGAAGTCATGTGAATGAGGTCACGGTACAATCTAAACAGTTTTGTTTCCTTTCGTTTATGTATTTTGGCTCAACTGCAAGCTCTGTAACAGCAGCGAATGACACAAGAGAAGCAAAGCATGCAATGGGTGGTATACAAGCAGGTTTTCTCACTTGAGGGCACTATGGCCCTTCCCTACAACTATTCAACCTTGACTAGAGGAACAAAAGTAGACCAGTAATCAAATTTCCTCCTTCAGGATATTTCAAAATTGTATTTCAGGGTTTTCTGTTGTCGTTGAAAACTGACCTGTCTATTTACATTTGTTGTTCAGGTCATGTGTCTCTAGACCATTTAATCTGAAAATTCAAATTGAATTGTCACTTGTGCACCAGCTAGGTCCATACAGAAGTTTTGCTATGCTTCTTTGCACGAAAGGAAAATACTTATCCTTTGACTCCCACTTAACAAATAGAGGCTTCTCCAAGCAACTGCTTCTTTATTCAGGAATAAGGAAAAAATATTTACTCAGCATCAGTATTTATTCTGGAAATTGTATTGAGGTCTTTACCCTAGCTGAAATACTTTGGAACTGCCGCTTACTGCTACTGAAATGTAACTCGGTGAAGACATTTTCAAGGAATACAGCAGACATTAAAGAAGTAATAAAAATTGGCTGTATGAGTGGAAACACAAACGT